ATTCGAGGTGTGAAGTGGTCTGTCACCCTAATACATGTGGGAGGTGAGATGGCTGAGTGGTAGAGCAGTGGTCTGCGAGTAACTGAGAGGTCACAGGTTCAAAACCAAGTCAATGCGCTTGTGCCCTTTGGTAGAAGGCATGATGGCTCTGTGGTAGAGCAGTGGTCTGCGAGTAACTGTGAGGTCATGGGTTCAAAGCCAATTCAACGCGCACGCTTGTGCCCTTTGGTAAGGCATTAATCCTCATTACCCAGTCCCTCAGAGAGGACTTTAAGCCGTCAGCCCCGTGGTTGCTTGCAAAAAACAAGCATACATGCTCTATTGATAGTCAGGTTTAATTTCTAACTTTGAACCTATCCTATAACTCAATAACAACTCTCACCCTAACCCTATATTTTTGATGAAATATAGTTGCTGCAATTGTAGCCGGAGTAAATGTCAATGGAACATAAGTGATAGATAATGTATTGAGCTTGAATGTGTTAACGTAATGTGTTCATGTGAGCTATAAATAACATTTGGGTGGAGTCTCTAATGTGACATGTTCGGTGATAAAGGAAACATGGTACTCTGATTTTTTTATGGAAGTGTCTAGGCCTGTCCTCATCGGCTCCAGTTTGCCAAAGAACCCGCTATTTTCAGACTCGGGATATTATCCCTAAGCTCGAAATTGCGTCTTCACCAGACTGATACGCTCATAACAAACTAGCTCGGATGGGCACAAATTAGCCCGCTATTTCCCGAAAAGCGGGATATTTTGGAAACAAGAACAATATTTCTTGGGATATTTTCTCTACTAAATATCCGGCTAATTGCAAGTGCGGGCTGATGAAGACGAATTGACTGGTTAATTTGCGATCGGGATAGTTAATATAGCATGTTATTTGGCAAACTCAAACTGATGAGGACAGGCCTTCTGTGGTAAAAAGATTAGAGATGGGGGGGGGGGGGGAGAGAGAGAGAGAGAGAGAGGGGGGGGGGGGAGAGAGAGGGAGAGAGAGAGAGAGAGAGAGGAATGGTATGGCAGAAAGATGGAGTGATGCAGCATATATAGAATATGAGGAAGTGGAGAAAGATTGGAAAGAGGCAATGAAGAAATAATACCCTAGAGTGGAGACTGATAGCTCAGGAAAACAAAATCCAACAAATATCTGTTAATTCATGATCACTACAAGAAATATGACATTTTATCCCCCAAAAGGTCATGAGGACAAAAAGTATATATTTTAGTACATGGGAGTGGAGTGGGGGTTTAGGTGAGGAGAAAATATATGCAGAGTGGGGGGAGAGGGGGGGGGGGGCTGAGTTATGGGCTCCCTAGGGGCAGGGGAGTGTGTAGATGGAGCCAGATTTTCAGTCAATTTATTACTGTAGGCCTGTTATTCACATTGAATATGGTAAGACACATGAATCAAATTATCAGTATTTTCTGGATAACATATGACATGCATGTGTTTGTTATTTGTTTTGAAATGAACCTCATTCAAATTCAAGATCAAAATCTGGAATTTGTGTGCTGTTCAAAGATTTCCTTTATTTGTGGTTGTGTCCGCCTGGAATAATTCGTCCATAAGGTAACTTTCCTACTGTTTTTTTGGTGCAAAATGAAGTTTGTTAATTGTTGCTATGATAAATTGACAAACTCCTTGGATATAGTCCTTTCCTCCCAGTGCGCATGAGTAAAGAGGAATCAACAGAGATGATTCCTTTATTCATGGTCCAGTGAACTGGACTGAATGCGTTTCCTTAACTTTGAGTTCATACCTGGTACGTAGAGTCAATTGGCTTTTGTGTGGGAATTGTGGTAAGGCATACTTTAGCTCATCAGGTAGAAATTACATTGTAGGATTATGGTAGGTCCATCTATACCCTTAGAACTGGGCTCTCTGATTTGTAATTGAAGCAGTCAGAACTGAAAAACCCCTTTTACTTGATGATGTAAATGTTCCCCATTTCCCCTTTTGGGGGACTATGCTTTCCATTCACTTTGATATGTGGTGATTATCAATGGGTGAAATTCCCATTTTGTCTAATGCCCATTTTGTATACCATCCATATTTGATGATTATTATTATTTATGATTAAATGATTATTAGACCATATGGATAAGAGACAAAATGGGCATTATAAAAATTTGGAATTAGACTGAATGGAAATTAGACTGAATGGAAATTAGACTGAATGGAAATTAGACTGAATGGAAATTAGACTGAATGGAAATTAGACTGAATGGAAATTAGACTGAATGGAAATTAGACTAAATGAGCAATAGACCAAAATAGGTAGTAGACATTATTGGAGATCAAACCAAATGGAAATTAGACCAAATGACTATTAGCCTGAATGGTCATTAGACCAAATGATAAGTAGATGAAAGATTATTAGACTATAATATGGGAATAGACTAATTGGGTAGTTGACAAACTGGTTGTAGCTAGACTAAACAGCAATAAACCTTTGCAATGCATTGGTATTATACTGTCATCAGTCAGTTCAATAATAATAATAATAGCCTAATAGTCCACTCCAAATTTTATTAAACCGAAACGGAAATTCTTTTTGCCCAATTGATCGTGAGCCCGGCAGCCACTGAGCAGCGCCAGATCGACGTTGCTCTATCCCTTATTGTTGAACGCCAAACAAGGTAGCAACAACTCCCATCTTTTAACGTCTTTTGGTATGACGCGGCCGGGGTTCGAACCCATGACCTCCCGGTTGTGAGGCGGACGCTCTACTGACTGAGCCAACACTCCGGTACAATAACCACCCTTTCGCCCTTTCCCTAATTTTTTTTTCACATATCAAATTTTGTGTATTCTTTCATCTGTTTTTGTGACATTCAGAACTGTACAAACATGAAATGTCCTTTCCTTGTGATTTTCGGAAGGTATCTCCTGACTCATTCTATATCAGGCAAGCAATTCCCTTTAAATCAATCCCTTGAAATAAATCTGTTCAGACAATCTCTTTGGCGAATGTGAAATTGATGCTAATAGTGACATGTGTTCCTTCGCTACATCTTAATTCCCTACATAGCTTTAGACATTTCAAACAAGTTCTTTTTCTCAACGTCAATCTACACATCTGCATATCACTCCCTCTCAAACTTAGTCTTAAGATCTAGACATGATTTGTTTGGATATCAGAATGTATCGTTTTTGTTTGTGCATGGTGATTTCATTCGTTCAGTACAGGGAGGGCACAAAACCCATGCTCAGGATACAAGATAAACATCTTCCTTTCGCTTCTAAGTAGACCACATTGACCTATTTACACTTGAAGCACATGTGCCATGCCCGCGAGTAAATGAGAAACCTAACAAATATGGAGAAAATACAAAGAAAATATGTATTTCTTCTCATGAAAACTCAGTAAGATGCCCCTCAGTCTTTTTTAAATATTTGGAAGAAAGTTGCGAGCATCTGTGGACTTAGGCCTGTGCAATTGCAATCTGCATCTGTTTATGTTTTATATATTCACATAGATTAGACATGTACCCCTGTTAATGAAACTATTTGTGAATGAAATGATTACATCAGCTGTCTTGAAGGAATCATAATTTGTTGGTAGTTTCATGAACAGGCAATTAAAAACTCAAGTTTTAATAGCAATTAATTGTTTCTAGGTCTATCTTCTGCCGAGAGTCTTAAGTTAATTTACATTCCACACCCCAACCAACATCCCCCTTCTCAACATAGAATTAACACTATTATTGCACTCTGCAAATGATATTCAAAGGCAAGAAAGTTAATGTTTATGATAGATATGAAGAATATTTGGATTATTGATGAGTATGATCATACGTTCGACTTTGAAGAATGTAAATAGCCTTAATTTGTCATCATCAAAAGACACCTAAAAAGTTTCTTCTTGTAAGCCTATCATATTGGGTCTGTTCCATTCATTATCAGCTTAATGGAGATCCCAACCCACTTCTCAAGTTCATGAACCGACCCATGGGAGTGATACATATATAGGAGATAGGAGAGGGAGGGAGGGAGGGAGGGAGGGAGGGAGAGTGAGGGAGGAGGAGGGGGTATAGACAGGCAGACAAATAGACAGATAGAGAGAGAGAGAGAGAGAGAGAGAGAGAGAGAGAAGGAGGGAGGTAATAAAGAGAGAGAGAGAGAGAACGAGTGAGGGTTAAACCGACAAACGACAGACAAACAGAAAGACAGACAAATAGATATACAGACAGATAGACAGACAGACAGATAGAGTGCGAAAGAGTGATGGAGAGAGAAGGTGGGAGGTACTGTAAGAGAGAGAGAGAGAGAGAGAGAGAGAACGAGAGAGATATAGAAAGACAGACCGACAGACAGACAGACCGACAGACAGACAGACAGATTGACAGACAGATAGATAGATAGAGAAAGAGTGATGGAGAGTGATGTATATAAGAAAATGTGACCCACTTTCATACAGAAATTTTTTTAGTGTGGAGCTTTTTTTTTATGTGTTGTAAACTCAAAATGTACATAAATTCTTCTGAGTTGGTCAAAATATTTGTCCAGCATTGACCCAAAGATATCGATTTCAGTTTTTAATCATAGGTACAAACAAATATCTTTCTTGAAGGTTTTAGAGTTTAGAAAACAACTATACTTTGATGGCTTATTGTAGTTTTAAAATGCTACTTTTCACAGAGGATGATGTGACTGTCAGAATTCTGTTTTTTGAAAGTAAATAGAAACAAAACAAACCAAAGGGTATGATGTATGTGCCTTTATCTTCCTCAAATATATTTTATTTATAATGTTTGGGGTGGAGCTGCCACAAAATGCTATTTGAATATCGGAGTAATTTTTAAATCCTCTATTTGTATTCCATGCTTGCATTTGTCAGACATCCATTATCCAAAACTGAATGACAGAATTTTTTTATAATCGTACTCGTGTTTTAGAGATTTCCAAATTAAATCATATTTGACTTCCATCATGTATTCCATTGTCCCATCGTTAGTTTTTACCATATTTTCTCTTTTTATGTAATCCTTTCAGAGGACCTCATGTTTGTAGATCAGCCTCGACGGGTGGACCTACGTGCTGCCCTGGATGGACTATCAACGAAGGCAGTAGACAGTGTATCAAACGTGAGTTTATTTAATTTAATTTAATTAATTAATTTATTTTCATGTCAAGATAAAACCAAAATGACAATCTTCAATACAAAAATGATTATATCTGAAGTGGGAGGACCATGAAAAGCAGAATGAATGGCTTGTTAAAAATGATCCTCACCAAATATGCAAAATAACAATAACTTAACAATACATAATTTGTTATGTTTATCAATGTATTTTGTGTTATTGAATCTATCGGGCCATTCCTTGCCCGAATGAATTACATCTTGATATGACTATATCAAGGATTTACATAGGTAAGTCTATACAAAAAATTGGGACTTTTAGATATCATCAGGTTATTCGACACATGCATTGACTGTACTTCTAATGTAGGCACTTACAGGCAGATTCTAATGTAGACCATCTGTAAAAAAAACAGTGACAGGATTTTTGAAGAACTGAATTCCAATTAGAAACCCAGGTGTTTTATGGCATATAATATAGCCAGACAGTTTCTAAGGGGTATAACACATTGTCTAGAACTATAGCCTCAAGCCTTTGATTTGTCATATAATTCATAGTTCATTATTACAGCACAACAAATGGTTTATTTTACACTGACACAGACAGTGTCAAACTGTTACAAAGTGCAGTTGAAACTTTTTTCTTCAAAGTTCATCATCAGTGCTGCTTAGCTCAGCAGGAGTCATTCAAACGAATCATTATGTGATGTTGTGGTTTTATGTAAATTTATGAGACGGAGCCATTTTCACTGTCAAAGATGGTTTAAATTGCCTAAATGTTGCCTTTTTAGAAAGATTTGTTAAGATGTGAAACGATTAGAGTTTGTGAACTTGGTGGAACTTTTGAAGGGTTCAAGAATTTGCTCCATTATGCTACCCTTGTGAGACTGGACTTAAATGTCAAAGAGGTAGGGAAATTAGGATGCGGAAACTTCATCCACATTTTCTCTAAAAAAATAAATACCATCTCATCTTAGAATGACGACTACCCCTTCGAGACATTTAAAGGGGAATTCAAGCTGTGGAAAGTTTGATGTGGTTTATTTCGTCTACACCCAGGCCGTCTACATTCTATAAGCTCTAATAATCATTTGATTATTATTATTATTATTATTATTATTTATGATTAGATGATTATTAGACCTTATGGATGGTAGACAAAGTGGGCTTTACACAAATTGGGAATCAGACTGACTGGGAATTAGACCTAATGAGTGATAGACCAAATGGGTAGTAGACTTATTGGAGACATATGGAAATTAGACCAAATGACTATTAGCCTAAATGATCATTAGACCAAATGATAGGTAGACAAAATGATTATGAGCCCATGTGGATAGGAGACAGGCTGGGTGTAGACCATATGGGAATCCAGCATCGATGTACGGTATATATCAACCCTGTTTCTGCCCCTGAATGAAACACATTTGTCCGCAAGCATTTGGTAAGGTTCTGGGAAATTTCAGGCGTTAAGTCATGTTCTAAAAGTGCAAGTCCTTGGCACAGGATTGTAATATCCCTTGTCTTTCGATGATGGGATTAATCTGTGGCTACTTTCTCACCGTGTAAGAACACATGGGAGATTAGCACCTGAAATCACATAGTCATAGGGTGTACCCACACAGATGTGTTCCCATTAGACAGAGTTAATCTCCTTCAAACGTGATCGCAGCGACTTTTGAAAAAAACCAAAGGCATTTTCATTAGCCTTTGGTGTCGCCCATTGTAATGTGTGAGCATGCTGTAATCGCTAATCTAAATATGATTTTATGGGATAAACAATAGGGTATTGATATTGCCCTTGAATTCATTTGTCAAAAGTAGTTGAACTTTTTAAAATGAAGTAATAACAACAGCGTTTATTAGTAAACTCTTGACAGCTCTATACAGTATACAGTACATGCAATTCTGTGGTCCTTCCTATAGGTCTTTAGATGTAAATATGACACATTTTGGATTCAGCAGCACAGTATATAAAATCATAGACACTTTTAGGATAGTGGAAACACACCTGAGACTGGGCCATCTAAATGTATCAAAAAACTTGGCCAACACATTTACGACGATGAAAACTTCGCAGAGACAATTACCATTCAATTTACAATATGTATAAATCTGTTTCATTCTTTAAGACGAATGGAAACATTGTTAAGACTTCTATCATAATTAACAACGTGCAAAGAACATTATTGAGATAATGGGAACACACCTATATGGAGACATGGGTGTGAATAGACTTGGCCTGTAATGTCAATCTCTTTCCATGTGAAACCATGAATAACTCGCCCCAGAGGAAGAAGGTGATTAGAATAGGGCAATATGGAAACACTCTATTCTCTTACAGGTGCAAACAAACCTGACATTGTTCTCAAGTGTGTCTATTGAAGGTACTATATTCCACATTTTCAAGTGAAAAAATAGTTTAACATGTGTTTGAATTATCAAATGTGCGAAAAAGGTGCAGTTAGGACCCTCAACAAGAATAGGTTTTATTAAACTTCCAGAAGAAATGTAAAGTGCTTTTTTATCAATGCATTTATTAGCAGATGCTCTTGATATTAAAAAAATTAATGATAATGAATATGGATTATTTTCTGCATTTTGTATTTATATCTGACCAAATTAGTGGAAATTTCAGATTAACTGACATGTAGTGTGATAGGTCCTGCAACATATCCGTTCTAGAAAAGAGTGAAGATTTCCAAATTTTCAAACATAAATTTTGTAGGGGGGGGGGGGGGGGGGGGAGGGGACGCATGTGTCACACCCCTACACTCTTTACTACCAATACCTTTGCACCTTGGAGGGGGGGGGGGAGGGTTAAAACCCTTGTGTCAATATTACTTTTTCATGAGTATGAGAAATAGTTTTGTCTCTATCGATAGGAATCATCTGTATTTAGGCAACCCTGTGACTCATTGGTCAAATCCTGTGTCCTTTTAGCATGCATGCTCTTGAATTGTGACGCTGTGACGTATCTTGCGGGATAGACTTATTTCATACAGGGGTTCAAGGGGTTGTATATTTGCAATAATTATATTTAGGGTGAATATATCATTGGACATTTTCTTATGGGAAAATATAAGTTTTTAAAGTTTTTTTAGTACAGAGCAAATTGGAGGCGAGCTCGTAAGATACGTCACAGAGTTTCCAATTTGTATTTAATTGATTGCACCTTTAAAGATTCATAACTTTCTTATCACTTAAACTTCCACTGATCTGTTCCTCTCATTTTAGTACCAGATGAGTATCATGATGGATTTTCTCTTTAAAGCGTATCTGCCGTAGTTTACAGGAGGGATTAGACTGCCCTGCAAGGTCACTGGACAGGTGGTTATCTCATCAACTCAGCTCTCAGTTAACATAAGAAAAAGATGATCATGGGGGACCAATGGTCACCGATTAGGCATGGTTTGTTATATAGAGGGCGCAAGTAGCTACAAGTAGTGCAGTGGGCCTTTAACTTTCTCTCTGAAAAAAAGAAGATTAGAGAATCCAACTTCATGCTAAACCATGTTTCGAGTAACAAACCACCTACATCTATAAAATAGGTAATTTGTTTGTCATGACATCTTAGGAAAACTAGAACTTGGAGCTGACTCAGTCGTGGCATTCCCTAGCGGGTCTTCTAGCCAATATTCCTTGTTAACCTGATTGACCTGTCATTTGACCTATACAACTTGGGGTCAACGCTGGTGATAAATTTGTCATCCAAAGTAGATGATTTGTATTTCGTTGTTAGTGCTGACCTGGTGATTGTATCTCTTTGCTATGATGATATATTGTTTCTTTGTTGAGCCAGCAGGGCATTTTTAAACTCTCTACCACTACTACTGATATTACTATTACTACTTCAACAATTTCTTCTTCTTCTTCTACTGACTAAACTACTACTGCTGCTACTGCTGCTACTACTACAATGTACTACTACTACTACTACTACTACTACTACTACTTCTACTATTACTGCCACTACTACTACTACTACTACTACTACTACTACTACTACTACCACTACCACTACCACTGCCACTGCCACTGCCACTAGCACTAGCACTAGCACTAGCACTAGCACTAGCACTACCACCACCACCACCACCACCACCAACACCAACACCAACACCAACACCACCACCACCACCACCACCACCACCACCACCACCACCACCACCACCATCAATACCACCACTACTACTACTACTACTACTACTACCTCTATTACAACTCCTACTACTACTACTATTATTACTTTGACTATTACTGCCACTACTACTGGGTCTTCAATAAATATTATGAATTTATCCATTATTATGCATATCAATTAAATACCTAGATTAAATATAATAATAATTACTCATTTAAAAAATAGATCAGAATGTTCATTGTCACATTCTATGTTTCTTGAATTTAAATAAAGAACTAAAATGAACAAATAGAAAGTTTTAAAGGAATGCTCCTAAACTGGATTGAGGAACTGTCATTTCAAATTTAGCCATGTCAGAAAGATACAGAGGTTTTAGATTGTGCTTGATCCAATTCAACCAACTGTTTTGGATCATCGTTGTTGAAATTTGTGAACATTTGTAGACAATTGTTGAAATTCCTCAACTTTTTTTCCTCCATCTTTGGTGGTAAGAATAAGGAAATGATTTGACATTGGCATTGAGTGAGAAGAGTTGATAACAGATGGATCACTGAGATGGAGTCTCCTTGGGATTGGGGGTTTGGGGATTGGAAACGGTCGCCAGGGAGATGAGATGATGATGGATACCATTATTGGGATGAAAGAGAGAGAGAGAGAGAGAGAGAGAGAGAGAGAGTTGGATGTTTCCGGGGAATTCTTGTTTTTAAAGAAAAACTGATATTGTTAGAGATTGCTAGTGTGACAGGCAACTGTGATGCAAATTGCAAAGATATACAGTAATGGATAGATATACAAATGGAGAGATAAAAAGGGAAAAAGAGAAAGAGAGGGAGGAAGGGAAAGGGTGTGTGAGTGCTTGTGCTTGTGTGTGTGTATGTGTGTGTGTGTGTGTGTGAGAGAGAGAGAGAGAGAGAGAGAAAGAGTTAGAAAGAGAAGTAAATAGAGATAAAGAAAGAGAGAGAGAGACAGAGAAAGAGAAAGAAAGAGATAAAAAGATGAAAGGAATAAAGGTAAAGAGAGAGAGAACAACGAGTTTGAGAGAGGTGAGATAGAGATAGCAGAAAATTAAAGAATGATGCAAAAGAAAACGATGAGAGAAAAAGAAAGAGAAAGAGAGATGGGAGTCGAAAGAGATGGGCCTATGTCATGTACAGTTACACAATCTAACATTAAAAGGACCTGAGCTCCTGTGAATACTGTGTTTTTCCTGTCTTCTAAATATAGGGGTGCTCATGAGTTTGTCACTACATAATATAACATGACATGACAATGGGTGTAGTATCAACGTTTTTCAGGGAACATAACAAAAACTCAATCTTGATTTGGTCAATGTCCAGCCTCGCTCCTGAAAAACCAAACCACACCATGATCGAGCAAAACATGTGGATGTTATTAGGATGTGAAAATGAGCCAGTGGGAATAGAAAAGATCAGTCATGGTCATTAGATATAGTTTGGATTCTCTTTCTACTTAAAAATCACCACTAGGTAGGTTCACATGGCAGTCCATCAACTTTAAGTTTAGGTCGTGGTTTTAAACGTTGAAGTTATCTTGTCGTTATAGACTATTTTGGTTTGATTCTAGCCTAGGCGGATGACTGAAGCCTGGGTTGTGTGTTAAAGTGCCCCTTTACTGTTTCGTTACAGTGGAAAACAATCCGTCCCTCGGATAGGACGTTAAATGGAGGCCCTGTGTAGAGGAGAGTCACCACCTCTGCAAGTTGAGAATCCACTGCACTATTTTAATTGTATAAGAGTAGGGGAAACCCCTGAGTTGTGGTCCACCTGCACACCCTAATCAGTAAATACTAGGAGGCAGAGGTGACACCAAATACTTAACAATAATGATAACTTACAAAAAACAAAACAAACAAACAGAGTAAACAATTGAATCAGGTATCGGATGTGTCACTGCTACTGATAACCTTGTCCAAATGATGTAAGCACTAACTAAGGATTGAACCCCTTACCTCTCGTAGAGGTGTTGTGGTTGAGTTACGTCGCCGGACTGTCCATCACAAGGTCCGCGGTTCAAGTCCCGCCGCCGCACTAATGTCCTTTCGAAAGACATTGATCTACATTTGCCACACTCCACCCAGGTGAAGTAAATGGGTACCTGGTAGGAATTTATTCCTTGCAATGTTAGATCGCCGTATGGCTGCCGTGCTAAATCCAGGGTAATAATCAGGAGCGCGAGGAGGGTCAAATCTGACTGACATGAGCGCTATACAAGAACCCATTATTATTATTATTATTATTATTGTTATTAAAAGTTGTCAGCAATACACCACATTGCTCCTATTGAATGCTTCTTTATCTTCTTCTCTTTCTCTATGTACAGCTACATGCAGGGGATCGTGTGAAGGAGGGGGTACATGTACCGCCCCTAACAGGTGCACGAGGTGTCAAAGTTCATCTATGGGATACCAGTGTCAAAGTGGACACCCTATGGTCGCCGGTGTCAGCTACAGAGGTGAGAGGCTGTTTCGTGCATGTCTTTGCAAATTCCATCAAAAGATCAATGTTGCTTTTACCATACTAACTTCAATTTCTGTTTTATATAACTATCAACTGACTATACAAAGTAGTTAATTGGTCACTCAATCAAAAAATGTCAATAGTATAATAAAAGGATATATATAAACATCCTGGTAGATATAAATTGTCCCATAAATGATGATCAGAATATGAAAATTTCTTAGCCTTTTCATGAGTCTCAACTTTGCTGATACCCTCAAAAACAAATACAAATTCCTTATAGATTTGTTCATCTTTTCATGATAATGACTTTTGCTTAGTCAAGCATAGAATATCACCAGTTTCTTTGGTGTCATTGGATGGGAAAGACCCTAAGCTTTCTAAAATGCTTTGAATCATTTATTTTTGAGACTCCAACTGTTAACAGGTTATAGGTGAATGCACTTTCAATGTAGTGTAAGTAATGATGATATTTATTATCAAGATGATGGTGAAAATGAGGATGGTCATGTTGATGTTGATGATGATGATGATTTTTAAAAGTACAAAATTATAGCTGGAGCATATTTTTCTTGATAGATTTCTACAAGGTTTCCTGGTTGATCAAATATTCCTGCTCACATTATATGTCTTGCTAATATGTTGATGCATCAAATTTGGGCAAAGTAAAAAAAATGGCAGTGAATGACCAAAAAGGAAAGAAAAAGAAAGTAGAAAAAACGATGACATCAATATGAAGAACAGTTGTATAAAAATGAGAACATTCTTAATGAAGCTCTGAACCGTTGATAGAGGAATCTGTCCTCAAAGGTTTTAGATTGTTGACCCAAGCTCCGAGTCATATTTTTGCAGATTACCAAGTAATTCCTGGATCTAACCTCTGACAGACCAGTTCAAATACCGATCTAGACCTAGATCTAGAGAAAATAGCCAACAAGTGGTACCGTTAGAGTATCGTGAAGAGGGTAATAGTGCATTTCAATCATGGGTCATTTGTAAGATGGAGAATACAAATATATACAAATCGAGTCCAGATAATATGTCGATTATGTTGATTTTTATTTATTTTTTATTCTTCATTCATTTTTGTCCTCCTGCCTTTATCCACGCATCCCACACAGGATACACCCGTACACCAGAATTGTGTTAAAATTGAAGAAAATCTAGTGCTCCAAAGTAGGAGTGAAATTTCAGGGGTCCACGTGTGCTTGGAACTGTTTAGTCTCAAGCTATGACATACATGTCTTTTCATGAAGTTAATGTCAAGTTGAATCATTATGCTTTAAATCAATCAAGTAATACAAAATTGAAATAATACTGGGATTAATCAGTTTAATACTGACTGGGGAAAGGAACCTTTACTTGTTGCAAAACCAGTTTATCATGCGGTGAGAAGCTTGCCAATGGATTTCTAGCTTATAGAGTATGACATCATCATGCGATTAGGCCTTCGACCCTGATGAATATCAGTCATTTACAGTGACAGGCAGTGACCTTCTAGTATTGCCAACTTGAGTGATCAAACTGATCTTGTCAACAAATACTGATCCTGATCAAGTTTTGCTGCACTTTAGTAAGCAAACATACTGATTAAAAGGAGGTTCACCCCTGAAATGAGTTTCTTTTAATAAAACTCCCAATTTTCAAGTGATAGTATTATAAAGAAAATCAGATTAATGATTTATCGGAAAGTGAAGAATTGTAACTCTTGAGGCTGAGACTCAAATTGGCAACTTTATTATAGGGCTCCTCTCTAACTCTTTTTTTGGAAGGCATCAGTCTCAGGATAGTATTTTTTAGGATCTATTTGCCTGGATCCTCTGTGTAAACTTCAAAAGTGTTGGGGTCCAGAGATAAAATTTTGGGTCCCACTGTGTACTGGACCCTTGTTAGAGTCAAGCCCTGTCTCCTATTTCCTTGCAAGCAGCTCCCCATTTTGCCATTATTAATAAGAAAGGGAATAGATATACAGTCAAACCTGTCTATAGCGACCCCCCCCCCAAGGGAAACACCAAAAGTGATCTTTGTAGACAGGTGGTCACTAAAGCAGGTTTGACTGTATATCATGGAGGAAGTGTGTATAAATGTATGTCTTTTTTTAAAGCAAGGGCAAAGATAGGCTAAAGAGAAAATATTCTTTTTAGAAAAAAATGGAAATTCATGAAATATGTACCACAGAATACCCCCAAACTTACTACCCATATGATGACCGATGAAAATGTCACCCACCACGGTTAATTTTCCATCATGCTTTGATTTTAAAAAGATCATTGCTTTTCTTAATACATTTTACCTAAATTCCAAGCAAATTTGAGATATAGGTTTGTGATCATGGTGTATTTATGAGGCTTACCGTAATATCTTCCAGATCCCCTCGTAGCAGCTGTCACTTAGTGCAGCATCTCACGAAACCGCCTTAAGCACCGTCACAGCTACAAGAGATCATTTATCATAATTATTATCATTTATTCCAATAGTCATTGGTCATTGATTGGAAAAGAGTTTTCATTTTTGGTTAAAATAAATGCATACAAGACACACGGCACTATACACAAAAATGTTGAGTAGAAATTGCCAAACTTGAGGGTATAGGTGTCAGACCAAACTTGAGGCAAATTCATACCCAACTTAGGGGATATCTTGCCCAACCCCTTTTCACCTTTTCAATACAGAATGAGAAAAATCACCCCAAATGTAACTTTAATTGCCCCAAAGTTGGTTGGACTCATAATTATCCTCACATTTTGTAGTTTATACCCAACACCTTTTTACAGCATGCACAGATTTATCTTCTCGGTTTGGAATGAAAGACTATCAGCTAGGTATAGAGATGAAGTCATATTGAGTCAGAGCTCGGAGATAACTCAATAGAAACGTGTGGTGGTAAATTAGATTGAAGGGTCTACTGCATCGATTCCTTGTAGATTAATTCTCATCAACAAACTGTCTACCAGGGATTTACAGTCATGTACTCATGTTAAAGGGAACTGCAGAAGTATATATTCCTAAATAGCCATATTAAAAGAAGAAATCAAACAGACACACAGACATGGAAAAAACTGAAACTTCTAAAATTAATCCTCTTTTAAAACTGTCTATGTGGGTCCCTAAAGGCTTGTTCAGGTACAACTTGGTAATCTATCGAGAAAAAAAAGAAGAAAGAAAACACAACATTTAAAAAAAACTTGTAAATGAACGGCAATTGTATACAACAATTGTAAAGCATATTACACTTTAAATCACCATAAACATCAACTGCAGCGGTTTTGCCGCATCTTATCTGAACATGGCTTTAAAATCAAATTACTATCCTGATCGTGTTAGCGAATGCTATGTCACACACAAATTCAACAAGTGAAGACATTATTCTTTGGGTTGATGCCCGTAGAAGCCCGTCTAACTCAGACTATGTAGACAATATTATGTGTACTGGACAAGTATGAAATACACCCGAACAAGTTACTGTATAAAATTGCCTTGTCAAATCATGCTCAGAAAAAAGGTGTGTTGTTTTATGCAACAAAAGTCCCTTATCAAATCGGTGGATATTAGCCAAAAGTTAGAATTAATTATTTCCCTCCCATATTAGCCGGCTGCTAGTATTCCTCAAACCATCAGACTGGGCTCTGTTCTCACTAATATAACAGACAAATTGGTGTATTTTGTTTATGACATCCTTGAACTCTCTGGCAAAAAAGAAATGGCTCCTGTCTCTCTCCTCAAAAACATCTCAGTGTACTTTTGGTCAAAATACATCACAAGTCCAACACCAAAATTGAACCTGAATAGCTTTATCAGAAAGTGAAATTTGTTGCATTGCTTTCAAGGTTAAAATACACGCTTTACATCATGGGAAAGTGTTTATGAAATAACAGCTATCAAAGTTAATCAATGTTGATATATAAATTAGAATTAATAATGTTCACAACACACTAAAAATGATTAATATATCTTGTTGAAATAAAAGACATGTGGTCAGTTTTCTTCTGTCTAGACTATGATCATAATATAGTCTAAATGTGAAGTGAATATTGGGAAAAGTCGTCATTAATACTGATTATTCTGATCTGAATACCTCATCAATCTTCTTCAAGATAATTTGATTTCTAACAGAACCTACACAATTATAATATTACATTCTCCTATAGAGATATTTGACAGTATCCATCAGGGCTCTGTAAGTTTTGAAATTGCTTCAGCTTTAGCCTAGCTGTGCAGAAGCATTTGAAGAGTCTATATCTATTGGTAATCATTGACTTAACCAGGATTTTTGTCAGGCTAAATTGATCACTGCATATTGTTCCAGTGAAAAAATACACAGGGGTTTGGGGCGAATTAGCCCCCGAAATGCCCAAAATAGCCCCCGAAAATCAGAAAAGAGCCCCTGTAAATTTGCATAGAGTTCAATGCAAAACAAATTTTAGAATGTTATTTTCATGCAGGAAAGCTTGAAAAGTAGCCCCCGAAAAATAAATATTAATTTTTTCCCTGTAATAACTGTTCTTTAAATTGGCAACAATAACACTTTTATTTTATCACTACAATGATAGAATAAGCTGCAATGTCTCTGAAAACAATACACACGTCGAGAATGTTATTGAAAAGTTTACAAATGGCCAGTTTTTATTGAACAACAATGATTTTTAGAAGCATTTTTAGAACATATTATGTGAGTTAATGCCTTCTAACTTGTAGATAACACATACAAGTTGTAGATTGCATAGTGTTATGCAATCTGTTTGGCAACGTTGATAGACCATTAGCTATCTTAATAAGATATTAATGTATTGATCTTGTGATGTATTTGCTTACATATAATGAAGGTCTTAAATGTGTGTTGTTGCTCTTTCTTCTGATATGCAATGCTCACATATACTGAAGATATTGAAATTGTGTAGTTGCTCTCTGAAAATATTATTATTTAGTCATTGCTAATCAAAATTTTATTTATTTATTTATTATAGTTTTATTTTAACAGGGTGGTCTCATTCAAGT